CCTGTGAGGCGGGAGGTGGGGGCGGCGGCCGAGGTAGCACAGCAACCCCCCCCCCCCCCAATCTCTGAGGCTGTGCACTAGGGAGTAACTCGAGCGGGCTAACACGAGGTAGAATCCTAGTGAGGACGGGGCGGCTTGTCACACTTAACAGGTCGAGGGGGGGGGGGCGCCCAGGGGAATGCTGAGGTTTTAGCTAGAGGGCAGAGAAGAAATTGGATGATTGGCATAGAGTCTACATGGTTTAGTGCAGTCTGGTGAACTCAGCAGAACTAACCGATAACAATGAAAAACCCTGTTTTTTCCCCCTTCATGTCACTCTTAATTTTTATGACATTATTAGGGCGATTTAACAAAACAAAGGCAGTGATTCAGACTGGGATATTTTGGGAACTGGGACTAGAATCAATGGCGCCAAGAGGCTTAAAAGTTACTTTTTTGATCTGAAAGTTGAGTTTAATGTTATCTTGTGCTAAAAGGTTGCTTGATAACTTAATACTGGTATGTTGTAACTTTTAGAGAGTCTGATGTCTTAAAATAATATACTTATGTTAAACACACAAATTTTTCAATTGGAGACAGTTATACTTGAAACCATGGACATTAGAGTTGGTAATGCTGTTTGATTATCACCTCCACTTCCTGCTGTGGCAGAGTATATTTTCACCTGTGATTGTGGATGTACTAGTTTTTTAACTACTGCTAAAAATTACTTCTGCCAAAGGAAGCTGCATGTGTTTTGATCCATTCTGTTTGTACGTAATTCCATTGAGTGAGTGTTGTCCACATCTGGGTCAAGAACATACTGGTGCTTTGAGTTAGGAGAGAGTAGAAAAGATTTATTTTAGAGCTGATTACCAGGTGAGATTTTATCAGTCTGGTTTGTTGCATTTAGCCTTCATCACAGTTCTGCTTTGTTTCAGGACACTAGTAGAAGGTATGAAAACAAAGCTGGAAGTTTCATCACAGGAATAGATGTCACCTCCAAGGTAATATTGTGCTGTGGGTCTTTTTAAAGTTTTTTATTACTGTTGTTGGATAGGAAGCATTGTTAGCTGGTCTCCAGGAAATTCAGATAAATGGTCATTTTCAGGTACACTTAGACCAGTGATTGGCTCTTTAATGTGTTTCCTGTAGCTGTTTTGATATTAAAACACTCCGTGATTTAATTATTAATAGGGCTACAATTATGTCATGGAGTTCATGGAATCTGTGACTTCCAGAGACCTCCGTGACATTCTCTGCCCAGGGCTGGACTGCTGTCAGCAGGCAGCCCCACAACTCCTAGCTGCTGGGCAGCAGGGGGACCCTGGAGCTCCCTGGGGAGTCCCCTAGAGCTCCCACTTCCGTCCGAGGCAGGAGCCCCCTGCAGCTGCCCAGACGGTGGAGGAGGACGGGGAACCCCGCAGCAACCCAACCATGGTGGGGGAGAGCAGGGGGACCACTACCCTTCCTCTCCTCCAGCAGCCCAGCGGCTGTGGGTGCTGGACCCTCCTCCCTCCCCATTTTGTTAAGGATAGTTTTAGTAAAAATCACGGACAGGTCACGGGCTTCCATGAATTTTTATTTATTGCCCGCAACCTATCCATGATTTTTACTAAACATCTGTGACAAAATCTGAGCCTTAATAATTAACCAATCAGGATGCTTTTACTATATTATTAACCAATTGTTGATGATAAAAAAATAATCCTTGATCAGTCATTTTGCTGTGAGAATTTTATATAATATATATTACTATAGTAAATGAAACAATGAATTCACACTACTGTGGCTCTTTTGGGCAATGCTGATCACTAATTTGGCTCCTGAACCACTAAGGTCTGAGTATTACTGACTTTAGACACTCTTTTATAGCTGGAGAGCTCTTGTTTTGATGTTAGGTTGGTGACATTTTTTGTGATGTCTGTCTCATCTAAATTATTAGAGGCAGCAATTTGTAAGTCACAAAATGTACAAAATAAACAAGCTCCATGAAAATGCTGAGCCAAACATCTCTTTCTATGATTTTATAGTGAAAGATTTATTTGTAGACAAAGTTTTCATACCCCGCCAAGAATTTGTAATATTGTTTCTAAATGCTCAGTGCCAAAAAACAAGGAGACTCTCTTGGAATTGCAGTGATGCCACTCCATAGTGCAAAGCAAAGCCCTTTGAGTCAGGTCAGCTGAATTTTTCTTATTATGTGAATGACAGACAAGGAAAAACAAGTGTTTGGCAGGAAAATCTAGTTCCATTGTCTTGAGTCTTCAAAGGGCATCATTGTGTGTTTCCACATACTGGGCCTTAAGTACATAAATTAACAGCCACTTCAAAACAAGGTTTGCTCATTTTGTGGTTCTTTGGAAGCTTAAATTTGTAGCTGGTCTCTGACACACACTGCAATTTTTAAATAATTGGCATCACTGTATGACAGATCACTGTACGTTGTATCTGGAAATTGAAAAGGAAATGTACTGTTCCATGTTCTGTGGTGGTATTAGGACTTTACATTTTCAGATGATGGTAAAACACGAATCTTCACAACAGCGCTGTGAGAGCTGGTGCGTGAGTTTTATTCCCATTTTGCCTAGAGAAAGCTCAGCCAGAGAACTTGTTACTTACCCAAGAGCACAAATGGAGCTGGTGCTCAAGATTGAAAATCAGTATTCTTGGCTACAAATCTATAGCTTCTGTATGTCAGAGACTTGTCGTTCAGGAAGCAATTAAAGTTATAGTATCAGTGAGAAAATCTCCCTCCTTTGTTACCTTCCTTAATAACAGCTTCAAAATGGCATACATAATTATGGATAAAAATGTACAGTGCTGAATAATGAAAATGAGTTGGTTGGGAAATCTAATAAAACTATGATTAAAAGTTTATCACAAATTTACCTTGTTATATCAGAGGGCAGTTCTTGCTTAAGGATATTTTTATGAGACAAGTTTCATTTTAGTTGATTGAGAGATTTTTAAAACACTCATTAATTTTTTAGACTGAGGCATTCTTAATCAGTCGCAAGAAAGAAAATTACCGTCTCTGTTGAGGGCTTGCATAACATCTTTTGTATCACTGTTGATGGGCTCTCTGGAAATAGTTTGGATTACCAATCCCAGCAAGATTTCTATAGTCAGCATTCAATTAGTACTGGTGAAGTGCAAACACAAAGGGATATTCCCAGTGGCCACAGGTCTTCAAATAATTTTTTTTAACTGTCTGGAAACTCTGTGTGATCTGTATCTTCTCAACATGTTTTTCTCTTTTCCTCCAAGTAAACAAGCCAGCAGTCTCAAAATAAAAGATTGGTCTGCCTGGTAGAGGAAACATTTGTTTCAAGTAAAGGTTTGCTGAATTTTGCCTTTGATGTATACTCATTTTAAGGATAAGTAAATTTGGTTATCCATCAGAAAGGTTAAGCATTTGTCCAAGGTCATACAGAGTCAGTGACAGACAACACATCATGATTTCTGCTATGCTGTTTGGCCACAAGACAATAATCATTTGACTCTTAGTTAAGCTATGAAAGAGTTTTTAATTTTGTCCTTATTAACATAATTTTCTTTTGAAGTTGCCTATTGAAAACTAATAGAAACTTTGTAATGATTAATTTCTGGCCATTTGTGTTTTATTAAATGTCTGGTATTACTATGAAACTTGTTTGGAACAAAGCACCAATTTCCTTTTCCGTTGGACCTTGTTTCCTGCAGGAAGCAATTGAGAAAAAGGAGCAAAGAGCGAAGCGCTTTCATTTTCGAGCTGAAGTGAACCTTGCCCAAAGGAATGTGGCATTGGAGCGAGAGATGATGAAGAAAGGTAGGGAATGTACCATGAGCTTATCAAACAGAACAAAAGGCAGAATCTCTATATTGCTTCCTTCCTGTTTCCTGGCTTGATGGCCAAACTACCTCACTCCTGAAAAAGCGAGCATCGGTACAAGTAATATCTTGTATTTTTCACTTCCCTTTTTTTCTGTTCACTTTCCCATTTAAAAAAAATACTTGAAGACAATCTAAAAAATAAATACACTTAAAATTGTTTTGGGAGGAAGATGACACTTAAAAGAAACAGAACCATTTTGGGCAGACACCATTTTTTTCTGACGTGGCAGCAATATCCACTGCTGCGTGTAGACTGGCTGTCCAAGGCTTTTCTGCCAGTTGACACAGCAGAAGCTGTCGGCACACACACAGTTACAAGGCTCCAGTAGGTTGTCCGTTCAATATTTAACGAAAACGGTGTTATCAAGTTTAAAAAAAAAAGACTTTTTAAAAGGGTTAAAAGTAGTTTGAAAACCATTCAGCACCTGCCTCTGAATCCCTTGCCAGTCTTTGTGGTTTTACAACCATGTTTTCCCATATTATTTAAAATATTTCTCTTTGTTGCTGTGTACAGAACATACAGAAAAGAAACTAAAGCCCCAATCATGCAACTGCATTAGTGTGGGGGGATCCACGTGCATGTTATCCTGTTGAAGTTAGTGGGGCTCAATGTGGTCATAGAGGTCCACCCATGTGGATGCAGTTGCAGGACCTAGGTCCTAACGGTCCTTCTGTGCAGATCCATTTGCAGGATCAAGACCTAGGCCACTGATTATACAGAGGAAACTTGAAATTGACTGTACAGATGGTTGTGAAATATATGATGAAGACATTGAAAACAGAGGAAAATAATATCCTTAATTTTCCGTTATGGATAACCTTACTACTGCTTGTAACAATACTAGGTAAAAAACTTTCAGAATGGCATGATTTTTTTTTTTTATTTGATCATGTACAGATGCTCCCCGACTTACGGAAGCGTTCCATTCCGGAACACCTTGCGTAACTCGAATCTTGCGTAAGTCGTAAACGTATACCCGACCATTACGTGCAAAAAACCCCAAAACAACAGCTATTTCTAGCTTACGGAACTTTTTCCGTAAGTGCGGATTTGTGTAAGTCGGGTTTGCGTAACCCGGGGGGGCATCTGTACCTTTAAAATAAGCTGAAGATTTTACATTCCTATTGAAAAGTTAATAACAACATGCATGCTGTCTTTAAAATCAAATTATAATCGGTGATTGGCAGTAGTATTTCTATAGCAATACATTTTAATATTCCTAATGATTTTGTGTTGATAAGTATCCTATTTTTATTTTCAACTAAAAAGATCAAAACATTGTGAAATTATAAGTTAAGTTCCAGACCACTGGACTAGAAGATCATGCCTTTAAATTGGTATAGGATGTACCTGACTTTAATAAACTATTCTCCGCTTTTTAAAAATGATTTTGATTTTTAATTCAACATGTTTCTAATACATAAACTCATTTTGTAAAAATGAGCAATGGTTTTGTTTCTTGTTTACAGCAATCCCTAAAGTGAGGCTGGATACAGTCCACGTTTGCGGGGTAGATGAGATGAGTACCCAGGACATCTTTGCCTATTTTAAAGAGTATCCTCCTGCTCATATTGAGTGGCTAGATGACACATCGTGTAAGTAAACTAAGTCTTTAGCCTATAGTTCTTAATATTTTTCGTATTCCGGAGTTCTGCCACTGATTTCCTTTGCAGCTTTTGGGCAAGTCGCTGACCCTTCTGCGCTTTAGCTTCCCCATCTGTAAACTTACTACCTCAAAGGGGTGTTTGAAAGAACTAGTTGTTAAAGAACTGTGAATATCAAAAGCAATATATAGTTAAGTTATTGGTTAGTGAGAAAAATTACCCCAGCTCTAGCAGGTTAAGTTGGCTACACCCTGCTGCAATATAGAATGTTGTGAAAGATGCTAACACTGGTGAAAATGACAAGCTGCAGCAAATGGTACAATACTGTTGCACCAAAGGTCCGAGACGTATTGAGGTATTGTCCTTGTTCTTCAGAGTGAGAAACAAAGAAAAGGTGTAGACTTTAAAAATCCAAAGGTTGAAGGGCACTTGGGTATTTGGTTTATATGTAGCTTTTCCTTCTTCAGCCTGCCTTTACGTACAGTGAATCTTATCTGTTCAGGCATCTTAATATAAAACAAGATAAAATTTATTGCTCTGGTTTTTCCAGAATCATTAAACAGCAGAGCAGCATATAACGCTTGTGGCTGTATCTGGACTGAATGCATCTCAATAAAAGGACTTTTGCTCAATGCTTATTTTTTAAGAAGCACCTCTCAAATCTTTTTCCCCTCTTTCATTGTCACATTTCTAACAGAGTTATCATCAGCCTGACATGATCAGTTTTACTGCATATAATTTTAATTCTATCTCTTCTTACAAACATTTTTCTTATATGTACGAAATCTGCATTGTATTTTCTTCAATGCACGAGAACCTTGCTAATCCTTGCATCACTAATCTACAAATTTGATGATCTGTACAAAAACCCCTTAACAGTCTCTCCTTTCTTCTCAGCAAAGATTAACAGCAGAGTTCTGCAATGAAGTCTCTTGTTACTTAAACTTAATTATTTTACAAAGTATACTTCAGTCATACTTCCTAGAATACTGTTAAGAGTTTTACACAGTGAAACTAAACAACACTCTTAAAAATAAATGAACGGATCATTTTATGAGCCAGTATCCTTGATTTGATCATGGTTGCTCACTAGCATATTCAGAAGGTGCAATAATCTTGAGTGGGTCTTCTAGTTATTGGCACAAATAAATGAGCCCCTATTATTTATCAACAGAGGGTCCTGTGGCACCTTTAAGACTAACAGAAGTATTGTGAGCATAAGTTTTCGTGGTAAGAACCTCACTTCTTCAGATGCAAGAGAAGAAGTGAGGTTCTTACCCACGAAAGCTTATGCTCCCAATACTTCGGTTAGTCTTAAAGGTACCACAGGACCCTCTGTTGCTTTTTACAGATTCAGACTAACACGGCTACCCCTCTGATACTTGACATCTATTATTTATGTAGACCTTAATCATTTCAGCGTGTTTTTTTGTTTTTGTTTTGTTTTTTTTAGTTTTGATCAGAAAATAATATGGTGTATGGCCTATGTTGTCCTTTGTGATCAGAGTTGTCTCCTGCTGATCAAACATGCTAAAGGATTTGTTTTCCCTTTATGAAACACAGCTGATAATCTCCCTTCCTGTTGGTACATATAACTTTATATACTTATTATGTGACTGAAGTTTTATACTAGTAATTTGTCTTCTACATAAAGGACTGTAAGATAAAGGATATAATCTTAAGAGCCTGTGTGGAAAATTTTAGCTAACTAGAACTATTTTTGTATGGGTTTTTTGTTTTAGGTAATGTAGTCTGGCTTGATGAAGTGACAGCAACACGAGCTCTTATAAATATGAGCTCTATGCCTGATCAGGATAAACTCAAAAACAGAGAAAACAACGAGGAGAAAGCAACTGAAAAAAACAAGAAAGGTAGATGCACAGAAGATATAGGTCATGCAGTTAAAAATCCGCATTCTTTAAAGTATATTTTCTTGGCTTGGGTGCTGCATAATTTGAGTTACTGAAGGAGGTTCTGTCATGTAGTTTCAGGTAATGGTATTCTGCCACTTTAAAAAAGGCTTTCATCTTGGAAACCTTTTGAAGGAGCTGCTTCCTAAAAGGTGGGTTGGAGAGATACCAAAATCAGTAATATGATCTGTACTGAACATTCTAGACATAAGGACAAATTCAGAGGTGTTTTAAGTAGTGGGGCAAGTTACACAGTCCTTGTAACTCACAAGCTGAGTGGGTGGAAGGGTGGGGTGGTAACAATGAGAAACAAGTGGGTGTAAGAAGATGCTTTATCATCTTCAACCCTCCTGTTGGTTGCTTTTCCTTGTTACTACACCGTCCTTTCTGCAAATGACATTGATTTACCAATGTGTAACTTCCATCACTATTTATATTATCTCTGAATTTGACCCTGTTAAAACCTGACCCAATACCCCACTGTATGTTTACAAATCTATTGCAAATGGACCCAATTGCTGGGTCCCATGTGCTTCCAAACCAACTGCATCTGGCTAGAGTCTAGCCCAGGGGTAGGCAACCTATGGCACGCGTGCCGAAGGTGGCGCACGAGCTGATTTTCAGTGGTGCTCACACTGCCTGAGTCCTGGCCACCGGTCTAGGGGACTCTGCATTTTAATTTAATTTTAAATGAAGCTTCTTAAACATTTTAAAAACCTTATTTACTTTACATACAACAATAGTTTAGTTATATATTATAGACTTACAGAAAGAGTCCTTCTAAAAACATTAAAATGTATGACTGGCACGCGAAACGTTAAATTAGAGTGAATAAATGAAGACTCGGCACAGCACTTCTGAAAGGTTGCCGACCACTGGTCTAGCCACTGTTTCTAGCTTTGAGACCCTAGGGCACATTCCCAAGCTCTGACCTCTTGTCTAATGCCCTTCCTTGGGATGTGGGATGCCGTTATCGAGGACTTTGAAATCAATGTCTGTGACCTCCTGAGTCCCCTAGTCACATACACTCCCCAGAGTTCCACCTGGACTGTGAGCACTCTGGACTTGTACCTTTACCCCGTTGGGGACAGTGTGGTTACAGATCTTTTAAAACAAAAGTCCTGAGACCTAGTATGAGCTCACCCCTTGCGTGAGTCTAAGGTTTTATCAGTATTTTAAGTTGGACAGAGTCCCTCCTGTGCGTGTGCATTGGTCATTCTCTCTCTCTCTTCCCTCCCTCCTTTCTTTGCAAGTCCCTGTATGTAGCCGATGGTCACTCCCTCCCCCCCCCCCCAGAGCAGAACCCTGCCCTTAAATAGGGTTTCTCCTCTGAGCCATGTGCTCAGATTCAAACGCTAGTGACCCCTCAGTCATGCTTGCCCCTTCCTCACTGCAGGACCCTGTGTAGAAAACTCATTGTTCCATGGGGATGGGCCAATAGTTGAAAGATAATCGAAGTTGTTGACCTTAGTTTGCAGTCTTGATGGCTCTTAGTGTTAGTCCTTTAAGGAGTCTTTGCGCATGTCCAGGCTTGTGCAGTCAGTGTCCAACATTTCCACACATAAAACAAGATAATGTTCATAATTTGACTCGGACATATTCCACTCTGTCACAGTGCCCATAGTCTCCTTTTCCAGACAGAGCACACTGCAAGGTAAGTTGTATAAATTGAAGCAGTTAAGGTACACCTTCAAATTGTGATAAACCTGGAACCTACTTGCTGACAACATCCCCCCCAATTATAACCCCATTATACTTCCACAGACAGGAATTTGTAGCTTTTATTACTTTAACTACATCCAACTGTTTTGCTGCTAGGTGATGTGTTAACTTCCTGTGATGTGGTTCAAACCAAGATATTGAATTGCACATTATCAACCAATAGTGACAATGCAATTCATAAAAACATTTGTTTCAACTGAAACTATAAATTATGCTTAGGTCTGAGTTGCATGAACAAAATCCAGATTACCGATCTCCACTTTCTGTACGTTATGCACTAGCAGAAACCATCAAATGTGGTCTGTTTTCACAACTCTGTTATGCTTCCAGATGCCTTCATAGCAGATTTCTCCTTGCAGCTTTCCACTGCAACTCAGAGCCTTTCTAACAACCCCCTTCCTGCCTTGGGAAAACTCAAGTCTATACAAAAATAGCTATTGTGAGGAAGACTTAGGTGCTTTTTATACCATTTTACCAGCCTCCTCTATACCATGTCTTATTTCTTTGTACTGAACACTCTTTTTGTGCAGTTTTAAAACACAACATAACCTTTGATTTCAGGCAAATACCAAGATTCTACAAAATGTAACATTCTTAAAATACATCTTGTGTTATTTTTGGAGACTATTTCACATTGATCCTGTCGGGTGCAAAGTAATTATTATGCCGTGTATATCAACAGTAGTAAAATATGTATTGACCTAAACTCCCACATACATTTCTGTATCTGGTCATCTAGAAAAGCAGGATACTGGGCCAAGTTCAGACTTCTTCAGTTGGAAAGAATTTATGAAGTAAGTTAAGGTCTGAGGAATCGGATAAATCCAACATATTAGGGAGGCTTTGGCTCAAATATATTCTTTTTTTTTAAATAATTTTGGAGTTAGCTAGGCACATTTTGTCACTAAAAACCTCTTGCAGTAATTAAAGATCCTGTGGCCCTTTTTGTAAGAGGCAGTATGCTAGCCCTGATAACTTGGCCAAATTCCACCAAAGTAATTGCATTCTGCTGTCTGAATATTCTCCATGGTTTCATTTGGGTTCAGTATTCCTTCGTTCCTGCCCATAACGTTTGTGAAGTTGCTGTGTGCTGTAACCAGCTGTTGTATTCCACTCTGAAAGTTGCTGCATTTAGTTGCTAGGTGAAGAATCTATATTCCCTTACTAAACAGGGCTGCTGAGAGGCTTACCCAATGTTGGTAAAGTGCTTTGAGATATCTGAGTGAGAGGCACCGTTAAAGGACTATTAAGTTGTCTTTCAGAAATATTTGAAACAAGATTCTGCTGACAATATAAACAAAATCTTTTTCTTAGCCCCCAAAAATAAACTGAAAATATCTGCCATCAACTAGCAATGCACAGTGTATACAATCAATAGACTAATGTAATCAGGTATTACTGTTTAAAAGTTTGCTTCCAAAACTACTTATGTTAGATTCTTGAAATGAAATAACTCAGTTTTTTAGCTGCAGAGATTATTTCAGTGACTTTCTAACAATTGAACATAGTTCTAACTATTGAAGATTAACTCAAATATTTTTAAGTGGCAGCTAAATTAAGGCATTTAATGACCTCTCTGCAGTTAATAAAATGAAACACAGTGTGTTTTCTTATATTGACAGACAATTAAACTGGTAATCCATCCTTACTGCTTCAACCACTTACATTAGTAGAGAGCGCCAGCATGACGGAAGCTCTATGATTGGTTAGTTAGTTTAAACACCTGTTTAAAATTTTTGCAGAGGTTTACTATCTTAATTATTCTCCAGGCTACACAGAACAATTGATAACTTACTCAGTTTGATTTCAGAAAATATAAGGAAATGAAAAGCAAATGCTGGCGACATCATAAAATCAGGAAGAATATCCTAAAATTTGTTTATTCTTAGACAAACAGGAGGAAAGCTCGGATGATGAGACCGAGGAAGGAGAGGTTGAGGATGACAATCCAAGTGATGTTGAGGTCAGTACAGAAAGAAAAACATTAACATGAGAGATTCAGTTTTGGGCAGTGAGGTCGTTCCGATATTCTACTCTTAATGCAAAAATATTATACAGAATCTGGTCTATTGTATAGTATCATAAATTAAATTGCTAAATCAGATTTAGTACTTATGAAAACATTTAAGGCAAGGAAAAGTCCAGAGACTCTGTCAGTGGAGATACCAGCCTAGGATGGCTTTGTGAAAGTGAGTTTTTAGGAGAGGGAGGGCATTTGGCATATGGGAAGTCTGAAGCTGCTCCACCCATGTGAGGACAGTATGAAAGCAGGTATGGAAAAGACTGGAAGGAGGAGATAAAGAGAGTAATTAGGAGGAAGGATGAAGAGGAGCCAAGCTATTCGGTTTTGGCAAACTGTACATAAAAGTATGCATTGGGGGAGTGTATCTATTTAAGTCATTTGTTTCACTCTTACAACAGCAGGGACAGCACATCTAAAATAATGCTGCTTTTCAAAAGAAAGCAACTGAAATATTGCTAGAGATTAAAGAAATTTTTAAAAAGCTGTTTATTTTAAGATGAGCTGCTTAATAGATACTGTCAGGTCAGTTTGGTCCAAATTTCAGTTTGTGTAAAACAGATTTAATAATAAATTTAATGGAAACTTTTCTAAACAAACACTTATTGTATTTTTGCAGTCCAGACATTGCAGCATTGTGCTAGTGTGTGACAGGCTAGAAACTGACTGTAAACAAAAATAAAATTGACTAGTTGTCTTTCATTGTCCAGGTTGAATGAAACGTAGATAGGAGATAGTCAGAAGTAGTGGAAAGTAAATTAGATTTTAAAAAGCCTAGTTTTAGTAACTTAGTGTATTAATAAGACAGGGGGGGGAATCTTTGTTTAAAAAAAAAAAATTTTAACCTGCCAATGTTACTTTAATAAATCAGTCTGTTAAAGAAATGCAAAACAGCTGAGTTCACAAATCTGCTGGAAAGCTCCTAACACAAAAATAAACTTTCTTAGTAATCATTTGTTAGCTTTGCTGTTGAATGTAATCTATGCTGAAAAACATTTTATCTTTGTATCTAAAATATTTTCTTTCCAAAGTTGGATGTGCTCTCCCAGGTAGAGGAAGATTCTCTCCTACGTAACGATCTACGCCCAGCCAACAAGCTGGCTAAAGGAAATAAACTGTTCATGAGATTTGCTACTAAAGGTAAATGACTCACTGCACAGGCACTATACAGTGTTTGAAGGTGACTGATGACTAAAATGATGTCTTTACATCACAGATAAAAATAAAATCATTATTAAAGTGTTAGATTGATTGTCAAGCATTATATGTTAAAATCTCATAGTACTTGTGTGTATTTTTAATGTGTGAAGAACGTATATGTAAAACTTATTCTGGGTAAAATTCAGCCTAATGCAAAGATTCAGTAAAAGATATATCTACCACTTCAATCCCACTGAAGCCCACAAAAAAGGTTCTGCATAAGGGCAAATTTTGCCTTTTCTGAGCATCAAGAATCATTTGCCATGCTTATGGTGTTGGAATTCTTTATGTGGTATTGGTGGAAGCTGTTGCCAGCTCCAGTCATGTCAATAGATAATATTAATGCATTTAAGGTAAACAAACTGAAGTCCTGTCTTTTTTCCAGTTTGACTATGTCCTTTTTCATACAGTTCTGGCAGTGACATCTCTAATTAGATAGTCTCCATATTCCAGCTCTTAAAGTGATACATAATACAACAGGAAGGTGATAAATGGAAACTCGTATCTCCATGGAATGAAATTAGTTGAACCCAGTGTCTCTTACTGTTAGTTTTATTTCAGAGGAATTGTCAGCAAGCATTGTAATCTGTTTTGTTCCTAGTAAGTACATGGATCTTTTACTCACATGAAGGAGATTGCATATTGTATAGCTCAACAATAGTTGAGACTGCCTATTACGATATATGCTTCATATCTTTGACTGGGCACTCTTTATTTTTGCTCCAGTGTGGTTAGGGAAAAAGTATTCCTTTAACTTAATTACACATTTTCAGATGATAAAAAAGAGCTGGGAGCTGCAAGAAGAAGTCAGTACTACATGAAATATGGCAACCCTAATTATGGTGGCATGAAAGGAATTCTTAGCAACTCTTGGTGAGTACATGATAAAGGGGAGTAGAACCTTGCATGTGTCTAGCCATGCTTACAAGGCTATCTAACTTGTGAGTGTCATCCCTCAAAGTTCTGTAGACTTGCGGGTGGGGAGCATTGATTTGTATTTTAGCAAAGTTGACTTGTTGACTTTACATTTATAAAAATTTGAATTCAAAATTAACAAGTGCTTGTAGTTGAGATATTCATACTGGGCAAAATAAAGCCATAGAGTAAATGTGTTCAGCTGCCGCTGAAGTCAATGGAAGTTACAGCTGTTACTCCGTGGCTGAATTTAGGTCACTTTCTTTTGGCCTTTTACATGGCAGAAATGTGTTTGCTTTTGTTGGCATTCCAGGAAACGAAGATATCATTCACGTCGAATCCATCGTGATGTGATAAAGAAAAGGACACTCATTGGGGATGATGTTGGGTTGACACCTCCTTATAAACACCGGCATTCAGGTAATTAATGACCGTACTGGGAACATATATAGTGCTTTACATCTTCAAACAAGTTGTGTTGCAGCTGTTGTGAAACTGCAGAATGAAATAAAATATAGGTCTTTGTGCTTCACCGGCCTGCCTTTTCTGTCCACTTCGCCTCATTAAATAATTAACCGAAGCAGAGTTTAGTCCAGGAGAAAACAGTGGTTACCACATGCTAGTTTTGGGTGGAGGCATTTCTAATAGTTAAAACATGGAATTGAGTCAAGATACTAGGGTTCTTGGCCCTGCTTAGCCACTGATTTACTTGCTACATGACCTAATTTTTCCTGTTTCCCCTATCTGTCTAGCCACTTTATATGGCTCATAGTATCTGAATGAATCATTCTTACAATACTTCTCTGTGACAGGACAACATTATTCCCACTTTGCAGGTGAGGAACTGAGACACAGAAATGAAGTCACTTGTCCAAGATCACTTAGGAAATCTGAGACAGAGTTAGGGCTCAAGCCCAGATGTGTGTCCAGTGCTTTAAACACTGTTCTTAACCTTTACTTGATAACTATTTCTCAAGGATGTTGTGAGTCCTTTTAAGATCCTCTTGTGAAAGGTGCTATGCAAATGCAAAGTATAACCTAAGCATCAATATACACAATTCTAAAATAATAAATTTAATTAAATAAAAGCATTCTCTCAAGTAAAACAGTAATTGAAATATTTATTAATGGAATACCTGACAAAATATAATTGTTACTGTCTTTGGGTTTGTCAACTTGACATAGATTGTGCATAATTAATCTGATAAATAGAACAGTGTCGGATAAGTGAAAGAGAGCTATGCTTTTTCCCCCCCAGCACTTAGATTTTGTCCTATGGTTTTGCAAGCAACATCAAAGCACTTAGCGTAAGTCAGTAGGTACTTCATTTTACTTGATTGTTTTCTTTTAGAGATTTAGGAAATGGGGTCTGGAGCATAAAAGACAAAAATCTCTAGTGGTTTGTTTACACTTCACTTTTAAACTGTCATATTTGCCATTTCAACTCTTGTCTTACAGTACATGACAAAAATAAAGTAGTTGGGTGGTATATATTCCAGGGGGAAATAGTCCAGAAAACCCAATCAATGAGCTTCTAATTGGTATTTTAGCCTTTACAGTGGTCACGTGATTTATGGGTGTGTGTATTAGGGAGCTAATATGGGAAGAAATATGTTAAGTGCTAAGGAAAAGCTGTACAGGAGGCTGCATATCTGCTGACTACTTTGAAGGAAAAAAAAAAAAAGACTGATACAAAGTGCATTCAATACATTTTCTAGAATATATTCCTGTATATGTACTGAGTCATATGAGGATTGGAAGAGGGTGCTGAAACTGCCCCATCATCCATTTAACTATGTGTGATTAACACTGTATTACTTGATGGGGCAGTGTTTGCCTCCTGTTGCATACGACACAAGATTAAAACACCGTTTTACTTCTAACCGAGTATATATTGAAGGTTTAGAACATTGGCAATACATGATGCACCTGTTCTGTTGTGCAATGCTGAATATGGGATCAGGAAGAAATCTTTCTCTCTGTCACCAGCAGTGATCACCTTAAGGCACTATATAATCATTAGAATTAATTATCTTTATTTTATCAAGGATCGCTTCATATTATTGATCATACAGTTACTCAGACATTTTAAAAAAATCCAGCTGTAGTACTTAACCTCCCTTCTGAGACAGTGAATGGTACAGATTATGGCATGTTTCATGGCAGGTTTATATTTCCTGTATTTACTTGCCATTTTTTCTAAATCTTGATTTTTAATTAACTTTATGAAAAAGAGATAAGATACGTGAGGTAATGTCTTTTATCGGACCAACTTTTGCTGATGAAAGAGACAAGCTTTTGAGCTCCACAGACCTCTTCTTCAGGATTTAAAGTTGGTCCGGTGAAAGAGATCACCTGACCCATCTTGTGTCTCGTATCCTGGGACCGACATGACTACAAAAACTCTGCAAACATGTATCAAAAAGATAAGCTGCGATCTCTCAAAATTAATTGTTGTGTTTCAGGCCTAGTGAATGTTCCTGAGGAGCCTATTGAGGAAGAGGAGGAGGAGGAGGAAGAGGAGGATATGGATGAGGATGACAGGGTTGTGGTAGAGTACCGGGATGAACTACAAGCTTTCAAACAGTCTCGAGATCGCAGTGCAGCAAGACGATCAAGTGCCAGTGCGTCTGATTCTGATGAAATGGACTATGATCTTGAACTGAAAATGATATCCACTCCATCTCCCAAAAAGAGCATGAAAATGACAATGTATGCTGATGAGGTGGAATCTCAATTGAAAACTATTAGGTAAAAATTTAATTTCTTGCATTTTATTACTTAAAAACCCCAGTCATAAAGTGTTTCTTGCATTATATTATAATTATATTATATTTTGATTTGGTTAAAATTATTTTTTAAAGCTTGAAAGCTGTTGAAAATAATTTAATGTAATCACTTATGTGAATTGATGAGCAGTTCAGTTGATTTTTTTTTTAATTAAAAAAAAAAGTACAATAACTGTTCAGGATCTCAACTCATTAACTTAAGTATTTTGAGTCACGCTTTAATGGTTAAAACCCATGTAGTACAGGCGTTTGATCCTGTGAATATGTACGTAGTAATTTTATATATCTGAGTTTCCTGTTGCATTCAATGGGACTACTCAAGTTTAAATTTACTCATATGCATAAGTGTCTGCAAGACTGGGGCTGTAATTTTTTAAGTATATACTGATTATGTAAAAATCTATGAAATAACTGTTTATTAAATAGTAAATATAAAAGAATTGTCCAAAAACATGTTCAATAGCTACTTAATATTGTTCATGGCACAGAACATCTTGTGTATTAAGATCATTCCAGTTAGACCATGTATTTCAAAAGAAGTGACTCAATAGTACATGTGAAGATCTTAACAACAATTGCAGTACAGGCAAGTCTCATCTTACACGGGGGTTCCGTTCCGCGGTTAGGCGTAAAGCGAAAACCGCATATAGTCAAAATTACATTGAGTTGAATGGCGGGCGGAATTGCCCACACTACAAGTACAGTATTAAAATTGTTATTTTTCTTTTTGTGTGTGTTTGTTTTTTGTTTTGTTTTTGCCAACTGCATAAAGCTGAAATTACGCATGTTAAATGCGCCTAAGATGCGACAGACCTGTATTCTGCTTTGACTGGATATAATATGGAACCCTTCTGAAGTAGCCACTATAGGATGACATCTCAATGTGTAGTATATTTAATGCTGAAAATCCTTAGCACTGAGTAACAACTCTCCTTGAAATCTTATCCCATTTGACTCTTCATTAAGTTCAATCACTTGTCATTTCAGTGGCATAACTGTAATGACTTAAGTGAAGTAGCAGCATCAGCATGCCCTCTTTAGCTCTGACATGATTCAGTAAAAGATATTTAAAAAGAAGAAATACAGAAAGCTCTGTACTATCATAGCCTACAAATGTATCCCTTATCTGCACTATCCCTGACTGGTATGATGTTTACAAGCAGCCCCTGTGCACATTGCTTATAGTCTTGAGTAACAAACGATGATGAACCTAAACTTAGAGAAGCATTGGTACTCTGTCTATTGTTGTTTTGACAAGATATGCTTATATCCTGGTTTAAAACTGGAAAAACATTGCTACCTATTTGTCACAGGCTTCTAAGGCATCCTGGATGCAGGATATGCAGCATATAATGCTCTGAGCATATTGATAATATGCTTGAAGAAGAGCTAAGACTGATTCTGGAATGCAGTATTTTTTTTTTTTTTTACAGTGATAGATTTTGTGTGTTCTCCCCCATTTCTTAATGGGGGAAATCCTGATATCACTACCTTCCAAAATGTGTTTATGCACAGGGGGCCTTCCTGAGGACTCTGTTGGGCTTCATTCATGAGAATTTATTTGCTGATTAGACATACATTATGTCTTTATTTAGGAACTCTATGAGAGCGGATAGTATAGCATCCAGTAATGTCAAAAACCGGATTGGCAGCAAAGGATCGTCAGAAAAAGTTGCAGATGTAAGACTACTGTTAGAGGAAAAACGTCAGAATAATACAGGGCAGCGTCAGCCAGTCAGCACTACAAAATCAGGTAATGTAAACACAGCGCAATGTAGCCATCGTGGTAAGTGGCTCTAACTACGTCAACTTCCATTACGTTATTCACGTAACTGAAGTTGTGTAACTTAGATCGATTTAGCGTGATAGTGTAGACCAGCCCTTACAGTTTTCAGTATGGCATGGTTCACGTCATGGGTTAAGTATCTTTACAATAAGATTCTTTTGCTCTGGTTTTCAGTTTAGCTCTCTAAGTTAGAGGAAGCAATACTGTAATTTTAAAGCGGATTTTTTCATGTATTCTAAAAAGTAATTAATGGAATCATGCTTTTCATATAAACCACCTCACATTAGACAGAGACCCTTTTCTCTTCCTTCAGTATTTATATTCCTAAAATAGAAATTGAATCCAAAACAAAGATGGCTTTTGGCGATCTTTAGAAAAGTTGTTACTTTTTAATCTTTGGGGACAAAGGCCAGCCACGTAAGAGTAAACATCCCAAAAGGGGGTACCTTGCAAAGATGCCATGTGACAAATCTGTCATAGAAATAATTCAAGCCTGGATAAACTGTAATACAGGAATTCAGAGCATTTCAAACACAGTGAGCTATGTTAAGATTTAATTAAGACTTCAGAAAAAACAATAATAGCCTCTCTAATTCCAAATTTTGCAAATGGATAAAGGACACAGGATCAGCTGGAAGAGTTAAAATAAATGCAGTACATAAATACTCAGTTTAATCACTGTGACGTTATTTCCAGATGTACGGCAGAGACTAGGAAAGAGACCTCATTCTCCAGAAGTCAAGCCCCCAAGTAGCACCTCCACCCCTCGTCGAGAATCAGTATCAGATGTACATAGCCGGTTAGGGATACCCAAACAAGATGTGAAAGGCCTTTACTCTGACACCAGAGAGAAGAAAGCAGGTTTGTTTTACAGAGAGAAAATGTGACTTTACTTTAGGGGTGCATATGTAGCTTGTAACTATAGACGACAATGATGTCTTGATGCTGTTAGTGGCATTAGAAAATAACCAAAGGATATTAACTTAAAAACAGAATATTATTCCTAAACATTAAAGCTTTGCCATTCATGTGGATAAAATTCTAGACTTTATAATCTTGCATAGAGATTGCATCTCATGAGCTTTATTACAAAATCCTCATGTGAATAACTTGTAATAGCTAAAGCAGTTTTTTGTAATGAAGATCACAAATGTTGGCTTATTCCCTTTAAGATACTTTACTGCTTTGATTCTAGGGAACAAGAGGAACTTCAAATGAAAACCTGGAGGAATAATATTCTGGTGACTGAAGTTAGAAATCAAGTAGTGAATGTTTGTGGAATGTTTTGAAGTTGTAAAGCACTACACTAATGGTTATTAGAAGTCACAAGTGCCAAATTCTGCCCTGAGAGATGTATGCAATTACCATAAAAGATAATGAGACTTGTGCACGTTTTTGAGGGCAGAATTTTGTTGAAATGTCTTCAAAATCTGGTCTTAGAGAATATCATAGAATGATGGTTGAATTATTATATAATTTATTGCATTTAATTTCTACTTTTCTCTCAACATATAGAATAAAGGAACTTTTAAGACAGATTTTCCCTGAATGTTGTTCTCTATCCTCAGTGTTGAACTTTTCCTGATTTTTATTTTTTATTCTTTTGCTCAGCTTGTCTGAACAGAGCAGTTGTTAAAGATATCTCAAACTCTGAGGTGTAATAATGTGCTAATAAAAAGTGCAAAACTATAGCAACCAAAGAATTTGCATTTCGAACTGTTTATATACGTTCCTAACCTTCAGTCATTTTGACTGTGAATTGCAATACAATTATTTATGTTCACTGTCATGCTCTTTAAAGTGTGGCTCTACTTTCAGAAGAGACTTCATAAAAATAATTCGATACAGTTCCGTAACTTTCTTAGTGAGGCGAGGTCACATTTTCTCAGTTTACAAAAAGAAAGCTTTTTTTGGTGACAGCCCTGAAAACTTAACCTGGGAGTCATACTGTCTTTTTTTCATACTTGTAAATCACCAGTAATAAAGCGTCTATAGGCCACATAGAGGCTGCACAGATGCAAGGGAAGTATTGGGGAAGACTGTAATTTCTTTTGCTGATGCATTTGAATCCAGCTGTCTTACAAAATCTGTGTGTGGACCAGGACTATCAGTATAACTTTGTTACGGGGTATGATTTATTTATTTTTTAATCAATGTACATATACCAGCTCCTAGCATGGACACAACATAAAGGTTTCTTATATGGGTTGCTATTCCCATACTGGAAGGAGAATAAGTTATATCTCAGTACAAAGCACCTTTATACTGATATAACTGTGCCCACATTGGGAGGGGTTGTACCAGTTTAACTATATTGATATAGTTAAAAAGGTTCCACTTTCTAGTGTAGACAAAGCCTTATTCAAAAATGTGTGCTTCTACAGTTCTAACAGAAGTAAAATTAGTGAAAATGTACTATCACTAAGGCTATGATTTAATCATGGGATTTTTAGCAAAAGTCATGGACAGGTCACGGGCAAAAAACAAAACATCACAGTCCGTGACCTGTCCAATATCCCTGAATGAATCTGGGGGCCCGCCGATCTGGCTGCCATGGGGGAGGAAGCCCCGGGGCGCCAGCCGCTGCTCCAGCCACCCTGGGACCGCTGTTCAGGCAGTCTCTGGGGCCAGCTGCTGCTCGGGTGGTCCCCAGGACCAGCTCCCCGGGGTCATCAGAGCAGTGCCCGGCTGCAGGGCCACTCCTGCAGCTGGCCCCGGGATCAGGCACGCTGACCGCTGCAGAAGTCACGGAATCCATGTGATTTGTGACAAACACAGAGCCCTAACTATCACTGTTGTAAGCAAGGATTGCTCTGGATACATATAGTAGAAGAATTAAATAAAAGCACCTTCTTACATAGTTACTTTTAAGAGTAGACCTGCACTTTAAAATATACTACATTCTGTTTAAAAAAATGTTGAGAACATTAAGGTTGCATAGTTGAAGTGTTCAAAATTTAGGAAATGCAATGGTTAAAATTGAAGACATTTTTGAACACGTCAGTTTTTCATTACTATCCATTTCTGTGATTTTTCAAACATCATGTTTTTAATCCAATGTAGGTAATTTATGGACCCGCTTAGGATCAGCACCTAAGACACAAGAAAAGACTCCAGATAAACCAGAAAACTCAGTAACCGCTCCAGAGGAGGACGATTCAGAGCTCCAGCGGGCATGGGGTGCTCTAATAAAAGAAAAAGAACAGTCTCGCCAGAAGAAAAGCCGATTAGATAACTTGCCATCTCTACAAATTGAAATTAGCCGGGAGAGTAGTTCTGGGTCAGATACTGAATCATGATGCTCTTTAGACCCTGATCTTCAGGATTTGAACGCTGCAGCATGGCAAGATGTCCATTGCCCAAAGGCTGAACATTATGGAAGTGTGGCAGGACTCTTATTGAGGTTCCAGGAGCCTCTCCGTTCTGTTTACACAGAAGTAAAGACCTGTATACCACTTGACATTTAAAGCAATCACATTTGTCTTCAGTATGTGTGGCCCTGTGTTGCGTAGGGCATTGTCATATACATTTATTACAGCAAACCTGTAGTAGTTATTGCAAAACATTTTTTCCCCAAGCTTCAAACTTTAAAGAAGGGGCAGAACTACTCCTGGATTTTGTAGAAGACTTTTTGTTCTTAATCTTTTTAACATGGAGTCTTTTAAGAAAATGTTTTACACAGTTCATCCAAAGACTAGGGAACTTCAGAATAATCACTATTGCCTTGCCCTTATAGCTGTTACCAGCACCTTTATTCTCCTCATAGAGTAATAACAATGATGCTTCCTGGGTGCCAGCCAGCAAGGGTAAAGCTTATAAAGGGATTGCTGCCTCCCACTCCTCCAAAATACTGAATGTAAATCTAAACTAGACCTCCTAGTACAGTAATACTTCAAAATAACATCAGAGCAGCACCACTATATTAGTCTCAGAAAGGATTCTGCTTCATTCATTTTGGTGATAACTTTTTGCTTTAAGTGAAGATTGACAAGTTCAAGACTGCAGAGTTAGATTTGTTGACAGAATGGTGCAAATTCCTGAGATGATTAATTTTTTTGGAGTATAAATGTTGAAACGATTTAAAAAAAATATTTCAATATAGCTGTATTATGTTTGAAGAAATCTAACAATTTAAAAGCTTAAAATAATGTTTATATTTGTGAAAATTCTGTTGGCTACAGTGAAAGCTTATAGTGGTGTTTTCATATGTGCTGTTAAACTATATATATATATCTATATATATCTATATATATATATATAGATATATAATATGATTGAAAGAGAAAAGGAAAATATAGGATCAGTGTTTCATGTCAATATTTTTGAATGTCCTAATTGTATAGTACATGTGGATGTGCACATGGTTGACTAGTTACATTCACTTCACTTTTCTTACCCATGTCCTCTTCCTTAGTAGGTAAAAAGGTTAATGAATGTGCAACTGGATTTTTTTTTTTATTTGTGGCATTTATTTTGACTGCCCACAACTCCGGGAAAAGGAATAATGTGTGTGACATTCTGGTAAATACAACATGTAGCAAAATATTACCTGCCAAGGTTTGACAGCCTGCAAATCTGTTTGCATTGTATCTAATTCCTAGGTTCTGTTAGCCCAAAATGTCAGTGTGGCCCTTCTTCCTTTTAAACATACATTTTTCTTCTGTTTTTCTAATTTTTTCATACTATATTGAAATAGGTTTGGGGCTTTGCAAAAGCAAGGAATCTGCAGTTAACCTCCGTTATGTCAGTGCGTGTATAAGAATATTATGTTCTAATAGCAGTATGTGAAACTGAAGATAAGCTACAGTGACTAAATACAGCAGGGTGAGCTGGGGACTGACTGGGCTTCTAGCCTTAACTATTTCCTTGCTTTTGTGACATTCACCCTTTTTTATATATTTAATTGAATTGACTATTGTCTGGTAAACATGGCTGCCTAAAAATACTGTTCATGACAAGAGTAAATGACTGCAATATCATTGTAACGGGTTATTTTGATGTGTACTTTCATTAATATATTTCCCCTTATAAAGCTTTAAAATAGAACCATGTCTAACAATACATTTGACACCTTACCTATATAAGATCCTGATAAAAGTTCCCTTAACTTCTGTGTTTCTGCCAGTAAATTACTTGGGTTGTATTGTTGGCTTGACTCCAATATCACATCTTACTCTTTCTGGAAGTAGAGATGGTGTAGGCCCCTGATCATGTAAGCTGCACTGCTCTGGAGCCCTTGTAGGTTTCTGCCTAGGCAGAGTAACTGGGCCTTTAATCTGCTTTTAGTGTTGCTGATGGGCATGCTGCTGTGTCTTCCTTCTCAACCAAGAAGTGGCTATGCCTTTCACACATTTCACAGTAGGAGGCTCCAATATCTTTAAAATCTTTAGGCCTGAGTCCTCATAGCCCTAATTGTGAGTGTAATGTAAGTGTATTGTTAAAGGGACCATACAAAGGATTCTTCTAGAATTGACCTTGTGCCCGTTTTTGCTTCTTTATGAAGTATAAAGAGGGTTTGAAAGGTATTTGCCAGTATCACATGTGTCAAGTCTGGTTTGGCTAGAGGACCCGATCCGTTGTCTCAGATGGGGTGTGTATTGTTTTCTCTCACCTTAATTAAAAGTGGGTAGTGAGTCTTTTTAACAAAGATATCCTTTCCCAAAAATGTTAATTACTCAATGAAATTAAGCAGATGTTAACAAAAGACATAGGAAAAAATAGTAAGCAGATGTACTAAAAATACTTCTCCCCCCCCCCCCATTTTGCTTGGCTTTTTGCACTCCCTTGATTCTTGTTTGGTTGGCATTTCACTAGTTCTCAAGTCATTATTGTGTCTTCTGTGCAAGACAAATTTAAATTAGTAATGTAAAAGGCAAGCTGGGGGGAAAAAAAAAAAAGCCTGTAGGTCTCTCTGCAACATAATGAAGCAAAAAGCTCATAACCAAAAAAGGAAAGAAAAGATGGGCATTTTTAAGTGATTAATGTTGATAATAAATATTCAGGTAGTGAATGTGAGAAATTTGACCTGTCTCTTCCATTAGAATAAATGAAATCTGTTCAAAGTCTCTCAGATTTGGGAGAGAGATATTCTGGTTTTGCCGTAGGACCTACGCAAAGGAAGGGAAATGAGCATTCCTCAATTCTAAGTGAACTGTTCTAGAAACACCTTAAGACTTTATTTAGATCATTTCTTATTAAAGGGGAAAAAAAACTCTTTTAGTGAGTGGTTCAGGTGACTTGCATTCTGTTTTTCAAAAGAAATTGACGTGGCATTTTAGGCCCCAATTCTCTATGGGCAGAATCAGGCCTTAGGACTTTAAAACCAAGATTTTTCTTTCAGGTAAGTGCATCCAATACCAGACAAGGGGAAGAAGAGAGCAAAAGTACATTTTTTTTATTTTATTTTTTTTCAATTCAAGGCAAAGAATATAATGTTAAAATATTTATACCTTTATTTAAGCAGATATTGCTGATGTCTGTTGGCTTGGTCTTCTTCCAAATAAAAACTGCTAGAAATTACATTAATGTCCAATTTTACTGAAATTTTGTTGGGTAATCATTTAAATCAGTTCCTGAAAAGGGCCTACTGCAGTATAGTCTGGACCCTCGCAATTACACAAATTAAGAGAAAAGGATGTGATTATTTTAATATAGAGGATGTGGGTGCAGCAATTAGCCCTTTCTCCTCTTTTTATATGGGGGTGAAAAACAAGTTAATCTGGATTAAACAACCTTTAGCTTTACTTCATGGTCCTGTAATCCAAACTCAACCTGATCATATGGTGTTTCAATGCAAACTGGTATTCCCTGATCATGTCAAGATTAAAGGAGCCTTACTAGTTTCTGAGGTTTGGTTAAAGGTGTCTTGCAAATGTTTTTAAAATATTTGGGTTTGTAACCCTTTTTTTGTGTGATGTATTTAAGAGGGCAGGAACTGTCATTATGTTTGTACAGTGCCTAGTGCAATAGGATCCAACCGGATTGTGGTTTTTAAGGCACTCCCCTCAATATAAATGTTTAATAATATTAATTTGGGTTAGATGGTCAACCGTGAAGTTTAAGGTTCAATCAGCTAATGTGTTTTAAAATACTTACTATTTGTGTTGTGCTGGCATGTAGGAGCCTCACGCACACAAGGGTCTCGTTTTGCTATACATTGTACAAATACGTAACAAAAAGGCAGCCTGCTCCAAGGGGCCTACTACCTAAAGGCTTGTTTACGAAGGGATGTTATGGAATAATTCCCCATGTGGACACTGTTCTGGAATAAAAAGTCACCTTATGCTGGAATAATTAGTGTGCATCCAGAGGGGAAAATTATTCTGGAATAATATCACTTTTATTCCAGAATAGTGACCCCGTGGACAGCTATTCTAGAATTATTTCAGGCAATTGCCCTGTGTAGGCAAGCCCTTAGTTAAAAATAGATCTGATCAGGAAAAGGTAAAATGGTTTGCAAAAAATGTTGGAAATATTAATTTAGTTTACAGTTTTTGAAAATTGAAATTATTTTTTTTCCATTTTGCTTTGTGAAAAAGCCCACTTTCTTCCCCCTCTCCTCCAGAAATGGTAGAGAATATAGTAAGAGAAAGTAGGGGACTGGAGGGAGGGGAAACTACTTTCTTTCATTTTACTTCTTCCCCACAATGTGTTTTTTTTTTTTAAGGGGGAGGGGTGAGTAAAGTTTTTCAAACAAAAAAGTGAGTGGATTTTTTCCCTTCACTATTTTGAAACAAAAATCTAAATTTTTGTCAATTTTTCATGGAGAAATGTCATTGAAATATGAGGAAATTCAATTTTTTCCCACAAAAATGTTATCACAACCCCATTTTTCAATGAAAAAAATTCAACCCAGCTCATGTTAAAATATGTTAAAGTACTAAAACTGCACTTTTTATATTCTAGTCTAGATAAGCTTTTGAGTGAGGCTCATGAGAGACCTTAATGAATAAAGCAATAGGATTCTCTGTTGAATATGCCTGATACCTTGGTATTGCAACTGTAGCAATACTAAGGTATCAGGCATCCAAAGGATGATGGAGCAGTGTGCCAGTAAATCAAATCACTACACCCTCATACTGTAAATTAAAATATGGAGAGCTGCTTAATCATCTAATTGATAGAAAAGCAACCACTGCCCCTGTTAATTCTATTAGTACTACATCATAATTTCAATACTGTAACTGGGATGGGAGCCCTATAACTATAAAAAGTGACAGAGTCCTGTGGCACCTTATAGACTAACAGACATATTGGAGCATAAGCTTTTGTGGGTGAATCTATAAATGTAAGGAATTATAAGGCCAGGTAATTGATAGGTTGATATGAAAAAGAGTGGGTGACTAAGGCACCTTCCTGTGTAAATCGGGTCCTGATGAAAAGATATGTAAACTATTTTCCTATTCTGAAATGACATGTCCATGAAGAATTGGCAGTATCTAAATAAGAGATGATTCACTGAAGCTGTGTCCTTTATCTTTGCCAAGTATAATCTAAAGATTTAGGTCTGTTCTATACCACCGAGTTAGGTTGATGCAAGGCAGCTTACATCAACCGAACTGTAAGTGTTTATACGTAAATTTCACTCTCACTGATGCGACTTCCCTGCTACGCTGACTTAACTCCACCTATGCAAGTGGCGTAGAGTCAAGGTCAATGTAGTTAGGTTGACGCAGTGTCAGTGTAGATACTGCGTTGTTTGTGTCAACTATTACTGGCTTTCAAGAGCCATCCCGCAATGCCCCACACTGATAGTACAATCGATACAAGCGCTCCTGATGATGCATACCAGCAACACACGGAGCAAAGTGTAGACATGCACAAGCAATGTAATTACTGTGGTGGTTCTATGACAATGTAAGTAAGGTTGACTTAATTTTTAGTGTAGATGTACCCATAGAAGTTATGAAACTTCAGCAGAGTTGCATGTGTGAGAAAAAGTCCTTCAAGCAAATGGTGAATAAAAACCAACTGGTTCATAACCTGAATGATTGCAGTGGAGAAAAGCACCCCGTGGTAGATTGTAGGATGCCTCAAGTCAGCAGCTGTGTTCTATACAGATCACAGTATTACCTAATAAAACACCATGCAGAAAATTTGCCCAGGCGGTAGCAGGCTCATCTCAACCTCTGTATGTAGTGTGGATGCCAGGTGAGGGGGATAGTGCCACAGTGAGTTGGTTATGCCATGTCTGGGAGATCCTGCAGGGCATACATTATGGGACTCTAGGTAGGTAAAGGGATAGAAAGTTTCACCTGACTGCTGGTTTAAGTACAGCCTAGGTGATAGTGACTTAGTTGTTACAATTTAATGGGTGTTCAATGGTCTCAGTACAGTTCTCAATATAGGGCCCCCTGTCTCAAAAACTGCTGAAGCTGAGTTATTCTTGGTTCTAGGAGTCTGACAGAAATGGGTGTGAAGATGGGTCATGCAAGTCAAAGGTGAATTCCAGGAATTGTGTGCTCTGGTACATATTGTTATAAAGAGGATGGTGATCAAGTGTAATGGGCTTAATCTGCAGCCAGGGAGATTTAGGATAGATATTAGGAAAAACTTTCTGCCTATAAGGGTTGTTAAGAGCTGGAATAGAGGCTTCCAAGGAAGTTGTGGAATCCCCATCACTGAAGGTTTTTAAGGACATGTTGAAGATATACCTGATGTTTATGGTCTGGGTTTACTTGGTCCTGCCTCAGTGCAGAGGGCTAGACTTCATGTACTTTTGAGGTACAGTCCAGCCCTATGTTTCTATGTGATCAATCAGATCTCTAGAGTTTTAACACTAAAAATAATCGCATCCATCCCTCTATCTCAGGGGTAAGCAACCTATGGCACACGTGCCAAAGGCGGCACGCAGGCTGATTTTCAGTGGCACTCACACTGCCCGGGTCATGGCCACCGGTCTGGGGGGCTCTGCATTTTAATTTAATTTTAAAGGAAGCTTCTTAAACATTTTAAAAACCTTATTTACTTTACATACAACAATAGT